ATCCTTTGGCCGAATACCATCAGCAGCAGCCTTCTGTGGGAGAGGACAGACCAGCTTCCAGCTGAAGAGGAAATTAGGAAAAGACGTTGCAAGTGAATAGGACATGCATTACGGAAATCACCCAACTGCATCACGAGACAAGCGATAACTTGGAATCCTGAAGGGACGAGGAAAAGCGGAAAGCAAAAGAACACTACGTCGGGAAACGGAAGCAGATATGAAAAGGATGAGTAGCAACTAGGAAGGATTGCTCAGGATAGGTTTGGATGAAGTGTGCTGGTGGACGGCATATACTCCTCCACAAGGTATACAGAGTATGTAAGTACACAGGAAGATTTTAATAAACTATTCTCCTTGTAATAACTATGAATTATGAATTAAGTTGAAACAGTAGGTGACTACATAGTTGACAACCATCTTGTTTATTCCAAGGAATTACAAAACTTCTTGGTGATATTAAGTTCAATAGAATGGATATTCCAACTAAAAAGCGTTTGTCTTTGACAACATGATTACTATCTCACAACTGGAATTCAGTAATTAAATATAAACAGATCCAGACCTTCAGTTACAATGAAATTCTTAAATGGTAACTATCAATCTAGCCATATTGTATAATTAGTAATAGATAATTGTAGAATCTTGTTTAGATACACATCAAACTAAGTTTTCATATATTTCCCCTCAACACAGTAAAAGACAGCTTTAAAGCGTATGCATCCAAATAAATTAGTAGTATTGTAGCGAATGTGAATACCAGTGGGGAAAACCAAATGTATTTTAATACATTATTACAGAATATCTTAGTAAAATCTAAGAACCATACAGTAGATACTTCATTTGCAAAATAAATATTAATTGTCTCAGACTATGTTGTTCTTTAAGTTTCATACTAATCACTCTCTGTCCTTGTTCTCTTTGATTTTCTCAACCTACTTCTACCAGGCATTGCACTTTCGATTGGTGATACATACTACTTATAATTGTCGACATCAGTAGAACACACCGCGGTTACAGTTAAGCAAACCAAATATAACATATTTTAGCGCATACAGACTGAACAGCTGTATGTAAAAAGAATTTTATTGTCGAAATGTAACCGTATAACTATGCTATTCAATCAATTTTGTGAATCCTATCTATTTGCAGTCACGATTAATATGAATTATAAGTCATACTTATTCGAACAAAATCCATTACTGATTTGTTCAAATGTCAGTCTAGTTTTTAGTCTACTTATTTATTTGAACATATAAATATTGGTACAAAGGGACACCGAATACATATGCGCCACATAAGTCACTTGATTTGTGTTTGGGCTATGATACTACCCGGATGCCAGAACCGAAACAGGTGGTTTTTTAGGGGGCCACACACCCGGAGCCCTCGACCTAAAGATCTAATCTACAACACAGTGGAACGTCAGGAGACACAGTCCCATGGTAGTCGGTGACCAACGATTGGTTCATACACCATTTGTTCCCGCAGGATACTGGAAACCATGTGCACCAATGGTTTGGAATCAGGGTTTTCCAACTCTTCCACATGGATCCTACGTAGCCATCAATCCGGTTAAAATGCCTGACTTTCGCTTTTCGTCCTCTCAATTTCTTAAACAGCACCATGAGAAGACAGTTTACAGAATATGAGTTTGATTAATTCCGTTAATCATAAGCAACTTAAAATCTGTTATATATATGTACTTTAATCCAAGTCGTCATATCATATCACCATAATGAGATAAAATTACCAAGATAAATGATAGAAAATTAAGAACAGTAATAATAAATTGCTTGCAATTCATTACTCTAAATGGATGTATAAATTTTTTTTCAACATTTCAGATGATAGTTTTACTAAGAAACGAAATGAGATAAATCAATCAAATTCAACTCATACTTTGAACTCCTAATCTATTATTTACACCATTTATTTTGTATGGTTCTTTGAAGAATCCCCACGACAAAGAAACAAAAAAAGTCAGAACAGACTACTTAAATCAAATGATCGATGCACTGAACACTTTTTTTCTCTTTATTCAATTCTAAAAGAGATAGTTTCAAAAACATTTTTCTGTTTTAATTTTCTCGTTAGTATGAAGACATTTTTTTTTCTAAACGTTACGTTAGTCATCTTCAATGTAGAATCTGGCATGTATCTCCAATAATCCAAGTTGATACATTGTATTAGCACATAGATCGATAGTCAACAAGTTATGAACTGATGCTATGTGTTAGCTTGAATATCAGCAACATTTCCCGAGACTACTCCAACGCCAGCCAACATTTGATATTCAGATAGGCGATGGTTGAATATATTTATCTCTGCCAACTTAGTTGATTAAGATTTACAATTTACTCAATATATTGTTAGTCAACCACATAAGAATCCCTCACAACAAACGTTACTTAAAATTATCGGTATAGGGTTGTGGAAATTGTTGAGTTTCGAATGACATCGATCAATTTTAGACCACTATTGAAAACCTGAAAGCACTGGACGGCCGTTCCGTTCTAGTATGTGACTCTTCGGCAGCGCGCATCCACAATCCAGCACGCACGACTCGAATCCAGCTCAGTGGTCTAGAGTTTAAAAGTTCGTGCGTGAGACCAAATATTCTGAATTCGGATCCCGCATGCTGGATCGTAGATACGCACTGCTGAGAAGCCACATACTAGGACGAAATGGCCGTCCGGCGTTTCCAGATTTTTAATAGTGATCTAACATTGATCAATTCATGATCTCAATCATTACTTAAACTTGCTTCCCTCTTGTTAGATGATATTTCTACATTGCAATTTATTGAGAATAGTTCACACGATCCCGTTGACAGACGTTTCACTGATCAGGGAAATGTATCTAAAAGATAACTTCGGAAAACTTAAAATCAGTTGAAAACACTGTTATTAGATCCATGAGTTTAGCGGAAAGTGGTCAATGAAGTACTGCGGTGTCACGACACACTGTAAGTTATAATGACTAAACACAAACCGTCTAACAGTCAACTGACCACTAAATATTTAAACAGCTTTCAAGAACTTTCAGCATGACGTTGGAGCTAAAAATTTACAAGTGTTCTCAACGAAATTATAAACATGATTCCTGTGCAATTCAATAAACTTTTACATCCTAATATTGAATATTTCGACACAATGTCCAACCTTTGATGCAAGCTTGCGTCGCATGTCAACCACATTCAGAGATATCACTGTCAAGTTATTGAGAACAAGGTGAAATTTAATCAAATTTTATGACTCGAATCTGAAAATTTGGTGGACTAGAGTGTTTTAGTTGTCTATTTAATCCGACTGCTACACTTTTCCAAGGAAACTCAAAACGTTATCGAGAAATGTAATTAACAGATAAATAAAGGTTATTTCAACTCGAATTACAATCATTCCTACAAAACAACTGTACCCAAGTTGTACTCGAGAAACAGGACCTATGGAAGTTGAGGTGTTTATCGATCAACGTGATCCGAACAGGAACAATAATGTAGCTTTGAAGTATATACTGATGTTAAATCACAAATCTTGATCGAAATCTTTGTATATATAAGATAACCTCGCAGGAGAACGGACACGATCACTCATGCAAACCATGTTAGGTTGCACGAACAAGCATACAAATGTGACATTACTTACACCACTGAAACATTGATAACAAGTATATAGGCTGGGTAACTCGATATATTAAATAAAAGTTTATACACAGAGCCTTGATTTACACTTTCGTTTTATGAAAGTTAATATCACTAACTGTTTGCTCGAAATAACATCAGTTCTTTCGTAATTAAATAATGTGATACAAGCTGGTTTCAAAAGTGTAAACTTCTTAAATCTCATATGAAAGTGATAGATTTATAGGATTGTGTTTTGAGGTGACTATTAAATCAGAAGAAATTGATACGCATGTGTTTCATGCAGTCTTCTCAATATCAGTAAATTGTTACTTACGTACCAAGTACAAATTTATGCACTGGAACTCTCGAGAAACGTGTTGTGTGTGGAAGGAGGCAGGTGGAATTATTACCACTAGCCCCCAAACACCCTGCTACGGCCGAGAGTGGGGAGAGTCAGTTTTCCCTCTCCAGATGCTCTCACATGGCCGCGTGCATACAACCACTGCCAGGGATGTCGTACTCATTGCCTACTCACGGTATTACTGTTGTTTACGAAATTGAGAGGACGAAAAGAGAATGTCCGGTGCTGTAACTGGATTAGTGGACACGGAGAGTCCACCCAGGGGAGTTGGAAAACCCTCACTCCAAACTAATGGTCCACATGGGCTCCAGTATGCTGAAGGAACAAAGGGTATATGAATCAATCATTGGTGACCGACTGCTATGGAACTGCATCTCCTGACGTTCCACTGTGTTGTGGACCAGACTTATAGGTCGAAGGCTCTGTATGTGGCAACCTTTAGGTGGCTCCCTAATAAAACCACCTGTTTCGGTTTGGGCATCCGGGCAGTATCATAGCCCAAACACAAATCAAGCGACTTGTGTGGCACATATCTATTTGGTCCGTCCTTGTGTCAATGTTTATATGTTGAAAAAAATAAATATAAATAAGGCTGGCCAGTCAATCAACAACGTAGAACTTTGTACGTTTGTACATCAGTTCGAGTTACTATACGACATTAGCACAAAGATACATTTGTCGATTCAAATCCCATAGTAGTAGAGGTATTGAAAGTATTAGCAGTAATCGGAAAGATTAGGGTTTGAAGATGTTACTCAAGGAGTATAATCCAGTGAAATAAATTTGGAAAGAGAAAAAAGAAAGGGAAATGGAGAATCCATAAGATTATAATTTGGGAGAACACAAAGAGTGGATGCACCGACTCTATTGTTGGAGTGGGACTTCAACACATGGGCTACTGAATATAAGTCATATAATCTGACCATTCAATCCATCTGCTTGATCGAATCGATCATTTGAATATGCAATCTGAAATCGAGTACTTATGTTTTTTTATCATCACTAATCACCTATCAATTCACTCTGTTAATAATAAATATAATTAATATCTTCTACAAATTCCACTTAAATTATGTGTACAATAATAATAATAATAATTACCAAATGAAGGATCAGATCATATTTACATTTTATAAATCAATTTCAAAATCTTCACTTTTTAAATGCTTCTTTAAAATATTCTCACTATTTGTCATTAGCATATTAAAACCATATGTGAAAACATCATCATCATTATTATTCTTGTCTTTATTATCCATTGAATATTGAATATTCTGTATTGTATTATTGAATGTATCCATAGACATTGATAAATCATTATTTGAAATATTGAATGAATTAGAAGATAAATGTTTATTCCATAAAGGTTTATTCATGTTTATATTATTATTATTGAATATTTGATTGTCAGTAGTATTGATATCAGTAGTAGTATTGTCATCAATGTCGATAGAATTATTTAATGGAGTCCATTTGAAACTTTTAGTCGATGGAATCATTAACAAATCATCATCATCATCATTATTATTATTATTATTTTGAATAACTGATGAAGGGGAACATGGATTATTATTATCATTATTCTCATGATGAAATGTTCGTTTATAAGATGGAAGACTGTGACGTTGTCTACTGTCTTCTTGAGTGTATTTCTTCAAACTATCATTATTATTAGTTATAAGTTGAGTTGAACTAAGTAGAGGTTCTAATTGAACCTTTCTATAAATATTAGAATGATCTTGTTTAAATCTATTTAGATAAACATTACCATTATCATTGTCAATATTCTTACTACAATTATTATTATTATTATTATTATTATTATTATTATTTAAAGTAGACATTACTAATTTCTCAATTTGTAAATAATCAACACTAGCATTCTCTGGTATATTCATTGAAACAATCAATTCAGGTGAAATAAATTTTGATAATGAACTGTTATTTAAATGAGATTGATTATCATTGATAGAACTAGTGGAATAAAGAGAACAATCAACTAGATAGATCACAACAATAGCATCCTAAAAAAAGGATCGAATAAAAAAGAGACATAAAATTAAATCATGAATAAAGAATATTATTAAGGTAAACAATATAACAATCATATTGAATATTGTAGGCAAAGATAGATTATGGTTAGCAATGAGATGCAAGACGTGCGTTTCGTCTTATTTGGGACTCGTCAGCTGGATATACCTACATGGGACGAAACGAGTCCTGGATTCCACTGATGGCCACCATCTATCTTTGCCTATAAAGCTTATGACTTAAGGCAATATCAAGACAATCCGTACAGTATACATATATGCCAATAAGAGATTGATCAATTGCATTCCTAAAAATGAATGGGAAGAATAAAACTAACAATACATAATGAGTATTATTGGGTTAAATACATTGAATGAGAAAACAATCAACAAATTTATTTTTGCCATACTTATTATAAAAGAAAGAGTAAGAATTTGGGATGACTAACCGATTTTTAACTAGATTTACTGGAGCTTAAACCCACAACTTATTTTGGTTAGAAGTCAAGTTCCTTAATCGAGTCAATTCGATTAGGGAATCATCTTGCACTGTTTTTCTTTTATACATAATTGATGGAATCTTATCATCTATAATGATGGTGACGATGACTGTTAATTCATGGTCCCTCGCAGCTTGAAATTATCGACCTATCTATGAATTATAGGATAAGAATTAAGCATCTTAGGATTGAATTCAGTTAGTGAATAAGTTCACTGATGACACTGATCATCATATTCATTTTTTTGTGTTTTCTTCATGCTGAATTTTGCCAAAAACAAAAAATCCTTTCTTTTTGCCAGTCATAATAGTTCAGTTAGAAGGGAATTAGTGTTTTTAAATCACCTTTGTCAATAATTTCCATCAACTGAACACATTGTATTACATTAAATCATTTATCAACGAGTAGGTACTTTGCTTATCGTCCAAAATACGTTTATCAAAATTAATTGTAAAACCAACTTCTACAATACACTGATTGAAAAGAATACCTATTATTATTATTATTATTATTATTATTATTATTATTATTATTATTATTATTATTATTATTATTATTATTATTATTATTATTATTACATGTAGTTCTTTGTAACAATGAAGAGTTGAAGTTTCCGAGTCGTTTGTAGGTGTTGTATTCTCTGGGTTAGGACGGGGTGGTTTCATCGTGAAGCTTGAATATACAAACAGCGAACAGCCTAGAGTCCTTATTGGTCCTGCTTTCCGCCTAGCCCAGCCAGTTAAGTCCAGAACACCAATCTCAGCCTCTGCCATATGAATCGTTTATCTCAAACATACTGACTTCATATACCAACCGGACAGACCACATCGTACCATAAAATATGAAACAACATTTGTACAGGAATTAGCCAAATGTGGCTGTGAATGAGGGAGGTAGTAATTAATAGACAGGGTATAATTCAAGAATAGTAAGTCGTATGATAAAGCTTATGATAAGAGGAACACGAATATGCATAGTTTAGTTACTTAATAATTATACGATAGAAAGTATACGCATAGTACTGGTCCATAAACGGATCCCAGAAGTTACCGTTCATTATGCATATCGCAATCTAACATAGAAGTCCACAAATGTAAACTGTTCTGAAAACTATGACTAATATGTAACATCCTTACTAAGTAGAGGTTTATGTACTCACAGAGTTTAATTATAATTCAGTTATATGAAAGCTAATAAGTGATACGTCCCAGATGTCTAAACCAACCTAGACAAAGTGAGTTTTAAACTAATGACCTGTGAACACACTAATTTTTCAAAGTTATTTCTTCAGAGACTTTGATTCTTACCCAGTCTTTCACTTAGTTATTTCGAACCAGTAAGCTGTAAGCCTCACGTAGAATGAGATATATAACAGTGGATTTACTTTCGCGTATTAGTTGACACACACACACAACACAACAGAACCATTCGAAAATAATTAATAATCCTCACAGAAGAGTGAAAAGATAATATCAATAAAAGTACTTCATAGCTACCCTCCATTTACAACATGATAATAGTATTAATAATAATAAATCTTACTTCAACGGTAGCCTCATTTCGACACATCAATCGAGCATGTGCTTTGGTTAATCTAACAAGACTTTCCAATAAACGTAAGGTTCGTCTACTGAATGCACCGGCCAGTGAATCATTACAAAAATTCGACATTTGACTTCTTTGCCAGACATAATAACGTTGAAGTAGATTAGCTGCTTCCATGGACAATTGTGGTGTGAAACGATCACGAATCCATACAAAATACTCTTTTAAATCATTTTTAGACCAAAGATCATGATGCTTGTCGTAGTGAAAAAGGATAGAGAAAAAATGACAAACAAATACACAAATAAACTACGATGCAATGTCGAAACAATAAAATAGATTAGAACATAATACCGAAACGAAAAGTTAGAGTACTAGTATGACCTACATATGTCGGTGTGAACTTATGGGTTGATGTTCACTCTATAGTTCGAAATGCTATTTAACATCATCCAAAACCCATGGCAGTTGCATTCATACTACATATCGCTCTAAACAATCACGTAAGTTCATGTTAAAGATACTATATGTTGCTTAATGTCATCTATGCGTATTGCCCGATGTCAGGAAAAAACTGGCGATGGAAAGGGATATATATGATCTTGTAAGGCATTGTGTAGTACAGTAGAGTAATCAGAATATAGATGGATAGTTCCATTGACCATTTGAACTACAACAATAGAAGCTGTCTTGGTCGGCGGCCTACGTTCCTCTACAAGGGGTGACAGGAGTAAGTATGATGAGAGTAACTGATTGTATAACTTCAAGTTTTTATAACTCCTAGAGTTATTAACGGAGGCGTATGGTACTTGTCATTTCGGACGGCGGACTGGCTTTGCTCCCTGTTGTAAATACAATTTAGCTTTGTCAATAGTACAACGCTCCAAGGTGTTCGCGAACACATTTGAATGTCTTACAAAAAGATCCACTCTGTTAACGTTTTGGCGTTAAATGTTGCATTTATTACGGGCGAGTTGTTGCGAATGCAGGAATCATTTAATGTACATAACGTATTTAATGGAATATTCCAGAGATTTCGTTTGTCAAACCAATCAATACAGATAAGATCTAAATCATGTCTATTTGTTGAATAAAAATTTCCCGAGAAAAAATAATCTCCAAATTTAACAATACATTCAATCATTATGACGAGTTTTAGAATATCTCCAGATGTATTACAAGCTGTATGTTCGTAGGTGGTACGAAAGGATAACTCATCAATTTCGACGTCTTTCTAGAAATGAGTGTGATGTCGGATGCTGTATCTAGTTGTAGACGAATATGAACATTCATTAATAGGTTCAAGCATCTTCTGTTGCCACCTAAATTCCATGCGAATGTTAAATATATATCGCGAACATACCCTGTGTGACCCCAAGGGAAATTCAGCTGTCAATCATTATCCCGTACTAAAAAAAATACCAAAATGACATCACAAATAATAAATGATTGTAGATGCCCGGTAAATTTAAAAAATGACACTACTATGGTAGAAACTAAGAGAAAAACTTCAATTCACTGTAATATCCATTCTATCAAATAAAGCAGACAAAATATTACCGTCAGCAATCACCAATAAGCTCAAATAACGAAACCTTTTACAAAATGCTGTTTTTTCTATAAATGGCATATTGCCAGAACTTGTCGTTACAGAAATCACCGATGTAATATATGTTATAAATTTGGTCATAAAGGGACCTTCTGTCAACAGAGGAATTAATAAAAGTCCAAATCACAGCTGAAATAGCCCCGTGATCACATATGACATCCATCCAGCAGTCCGTGAGTTCGAGTCCCTAATAGTACTATTGTCGCCTTCCCTCCTTACATGCACAGCACATTTATCGAGAGTTCCAGCATAAATTTGTACTTAGTAAGTAAGTAACAATAGACTGATATTGAGAAGAATGTGCATGAAACACACGTATATCAATTTCTGCTGAATTAATAGTGACCTAGAAACAGTGAATTCGACTGATTACAAGTGTTCCAAATTTATATTACAAATAAATTTCCCTGAACATGTTCTATAAGGCTATCCAAACGACGTTATCAAACTCTTTCTCATAGTCAAGAAAGTTGATGTATAATGACAAGTCCCATTTAATTGATTACTCAACAATGAATAAAATATTCGTAGACTAATAAACACTAATAAGGTTTACATGTAAAGATACACTACCTTAAAATGAAAAGCTAATCTTTATGAAAATCTTTGTAATTTCAAATTCACTAATGGAGTCCTGATAAAGCTAATCGCTTTTCTGTTTCATAGACGATAATTTAAATATTTTTCAACCCATCAACCATGTACCGAATTCCGGAGATATTTACACTACAAGAACAAATGACATTTACAACTTAAACTTCGAAATTGAAATACAAAAAAGTGATTTAGTTATTAAAGGTTAAACTATTAAACTAATTAGCTATAGCTTAAAGTTTTAATGTATGAGTTTAACCTATTAGTAATCAAAGGTTAGAACGATTTCATGAATAAATCTCAACAAAATGTCGTTCTGCAGGTATACATGGCTCTGTTGAGATTCCATAAACTGAAATGTAATAAACATAAGTATAAGTGGGTATATTATCTATCAAACAAATTGATTAGCATCTTCTTAATTTATATTCCTGATGACGTGAATAAAATTCATTACTTTTGTTATTTCCTGATTCGTTGAAAAACTAGTTGGTTGATCTAAATCCAAAATAAAGTTAGCAATTCGACGATCCCATTCTAAAGAGTCAACTGGATCAACTAATCTCCAGATTAAATCAAAACGACTTAACAATGGAGTTGGTAAACCATAATCTTCATTACCATGTAGAATAGAATTCGGTGATGGATTTGCTGCAGCTAAAACAGAACAACGACAATTCAATCGAGCCATAAGACCAGCTTTAGCTAGACTGATTGTTTGTTGTTCCATTGCTTCATGTACAGCAGCACGATGAACACCGTGTAGTGCAGTAAATTCATCTATAGCACACAAACCACCATCGGCTAATACTAAAGCACCAGCATCCAGTGTCCAACCAGTTGAATCACGTATAGCTGTAGCAGTTAAACCAGCTGCTGTAGTACCGGTTGCAGTAGTTAAAACAGCTCGATCACAAAGTGATGTACATCCACGAAGAAGAACTGATTTCGCGGTACCAGGATCACCTATGAGTAGAATATGTGGATTACCTCGAATATGTGTAGAGAGTTCATCTACACCTGTAGTTTCACCTACAGAAAAAAAATTATCAAGTTATAGCATTTATAATATGAAAGCAGTTATTACAAAACAGTTTAGAGAAACTATGATATTTAATACATAAACAAATGAACCTGATATTCTTTGTCTCACAAATTACCTATCGATGAAAACTTCAGTTGTTTTCAACTTTTATCACCTAGTATGACTGAACGTCGTACAGATAAGCATTTAATGACACCTAAATTAGATGTAAAATCAATAGAAGCTAATAATCTGCGATTTTGAACTGTTTAATATGGTGATAACCTATTTTAGGCTAGTATCTGAAGATGCATCATGATTCCTTGAAAAATGCGATCTTAATTCGAGGAATTATGCATTGTTCTAAATAAGTTTATCTTGGGCAATATTTTTTATAACTTTGCTTGTAGCCCTTATAGGGTTAATGATAGTCCGAAACCGGGTAAACAAGGAGGATGGACATGGGGTTAGCAACTCTATCGCGTAGAAAACAATTATGCTAAATAACACCAACCACTAGTATTTTTTTAGAAACGCCATTCCATCGACATATTTTTATGACCTTTTTGTGAATAACAACGAACTGAATGAACACACTATTCATTTTGAAAGATATTTAGAATTAGATAAGCTCACATTCGTGAGAAGTATGAGTTTTATATTCAATATACAATGAAACGGGCCCACTAGGTAGTTCTATTTTTAAATGAACTTAGGTTCTTTGAAGTCAGATACGAACAATTTATGTACTTCCTCAGAAAAAAATACTATAGTATGCATAGGTTGAGTGTACTTGCTTGTAGTAGTAGTCGCTTCTGAACTTTAGAGGAAATATAGAAATCAAAATAAGCATAACACAGTTGAGTATTAAACATTCACTTGTTTACTTCATTTTATCCTCACGATGTATGTAATATACACACAAAAGCTTCAACTGAACTCTACTTAATTGACACTGGACATACTGTTCCCACTTTTTAAATGTATGGTGAGAAATACTCAAAGCAGATAATGATTGCAATGTGGACTTTAAATTAAACTCAAAAAAATCTAAAACATTATCCATATTCTAACGAAGATACACATCTAACGTGTGTACATAGTGTGTATATGGTATTGTCAAATCTTACCCGATGTAGAATGCCATTCAGGTGCACTTGCAAGCATTAAAGCTAGTGAAAGTTTGATAAGATACATTCCATAAACTTCTGGACAAATACTACGTAAAAGTATATTTCTACCTTCTAAAGCTGAACTAAAATTGGTATATTTATTCCAAAATACTTCGAATTCTAATGCTCGTTCATGTGAAATATAACTAGGTCCACCACCAGCTTTAAGTTCGGTTAGATTTTCAATATAATTTGCTTTAAGATATGTAAAAATTTCACATGGACTGCCTTCTTTAGTACATCGCCATCTACGTGTTACAACTCCATTAATAACTACTTCATCCCCGGGTTTAACACATTCTAATAAATCATCTTCAATACAAACACACATAGAACGTCGCATAACACCGACTGTAAGACAATCAAACTGTTCATGTACACGAATTTCTTGATAGTTTTTTGCATAAAATTGTGAGTTTGACGACACACATTTTAAATTCATAGAATTACAAGATTGCTGACGATTTGGACAATAACGTGGTGGTTTAATAGCATAGAAATTTTCAAAATTAGCATATACACTAAATGTATAACCACATTTTATGCAATAATACTGTACTTTACTTTGTATCACTTGTACAGGACCGACACGACTTACAATAGCTCTAAGTGCAATAAATTTTCCAGTATCTATTGATGTTGGTATATGATTTTTATATACTTCCGGTATGATAGGTAATGCTGTTAAACGAATATGTATATTTTGTTGTATATTATCAAGCAATTGTTTAGGATTATCTACTTTTTTGGATTGTATGACTTGATAAACACTCTTGTTTAATAAATTCAATGTTTCTTCAGGTTTGGATAGGATTAATTCTGAAAAGATACTGTTAAATTCGCATAAATTATTAAAATGTACAATAATTGACTGATGTGGTTCAGATGGTAATAGTAACGAAAGTTTACAAATATCACTTCGATGTTCACGTAGTAAATATTCTGAAAAAAGTGAAATAATAGATTCACTCTTCATTGTCATATTATTTGTGACAAGTTTATGAAGTCATTTATTTGAACTGATGAATTAACACGTCTGGTCAACCTGAAAAATGGCAATGAATAACTATTCAAATTTTGAAGAATAAGGCCGTGTAAACAATACTAAAATAGAGATGTAATCTTTCAATCGTCTTTATTAATTAACACTTTATCTCTAGAAAATCGACAACAAAAACCTCATTGTATCAAGAATATTTACATGCAATCTGGAACGATTGAGAACCTTATGCATTAGTTCAGTCAGTCAGTCAGCTATAACGTAAGACCAGGCATATATATGCATCGGTCCAAGTTGCCATACCGCATTAACACAACAAGATGGACACCGGATTCATAAAAGTAGTTAATTCAGAGGTGGTAATATATAAAAGAAAGATTGCATATAAGGATATAGTACAGGAAGAAAGAATTAGTTCGTAGAAAGAAAGATATAAAGCAATTTTAATCTCTTAGTTTAAGGGAAAACAGAGAGTGTATACACCGACGCCATTGTGACCGATTCGGAGCCTTGTCACCAAGAGTCTCCAACCATTGGTTACGAAAGTCACGCGGACCCCAACCAAGTAGTCTGCATCTACCAACATGGCTCAGAATACAAGTTAGTGACTTCAAGCACTGATGCCACGTTTTGGTTTGGCCATCCCTAACTTTCTTCCAACCATCCCGAACATCGGTTAGCATTGCACGTCGTGGTAATCGGTGTTTGGACATACGTAACACGTGGCCCAACCATCTCAGTCGATGAAGATTCACAACCTCATTCACTGATTTACCATCATTCCCTAATACCCTGCGTCTAACCTCACTATTACTTACCCGGTGATCCCAGCAGACGCCAGCAATATTTCTAAGGCATCTGTGGTCAAATACTGGTAGCTTACGAGTGTCTTCTACTCTTAATGGTCATGTTTCGCTGCCGTAAATTAAAACAGAATGGACTGCCGCGCAGTATACTCGTCCTTTTATTGATAGACGGATATCTCGCCTTCGCCATAGGTGAGGTAATTTGGCAAAAGTCAAGCGAGCTTTTTGAATCCGTGCTGAGATTTCGTCAGACACTAACCCATTAGAGCTGATCAGACTTCCAAGATAAGTGAAGTTGTCAACGCGTTCGACTACTTCGCTCCCTATCCTTAGTTCAGGTGTTGACTCTGACCAGTCCTGAAGCAACAACTCGCATTTAGAGGGAGAGAAGCGCATTCCAAACATTCTGGAATTGTTGCTCAGTGCTACCAAAAGATTCTGCATTTTATCAGCGTCCTCACCAAACAGGACTATATCATCTGCGTATTCTAAGTCGATAAGTGGACCTCCTGGAAGCAGATCAATACCTGAGAATTCAGTAGATGAGAACGTTATTTCTATCAATAGGTGTATGATGAAGTTAAACAAAAATGGAGAAAGTGGACAGCCTTGAAGGACGCCACTTGAGGTTGCAAAAGCAGATGACAATTCGCCATAAGCTCTGACTCGACTGGTAGTGTTCGAGTAAAGAGCCTTCACAAGGTTTATGTACTTCTGAGGTACGCCTTTCAACGACAGACGCTGCCACAGAATCTCACGGTTTACAGATTCAAATCCTGCTTTTAGGTCAAGAAAGACCACCATTGTCGGACGCCGATAAGTATGCCTATGTTTTAGAACCTGACGAATGGTGAATATGTGGTCGATGCAGCCACGACTAGGTCTGAAGTCAGCTTGATTCTCTCGTGTTTGCAGGTCACGAGTCTTAGTTAGGCGTCTGATAATTATCGAGGCTAGTATTTTAGATACTATATTAGTTAAACTAATCCCTCTATGGTTATCACAGGATGATTTTAACCCTCTCTTATATATTGGGACGATAAGTGATTGTGACCAGTCAGATGGAATAACGTCTAACTCCCAGATCTTAGCTAATGTATTAGTCAACCTAATCGCTAAAATTGGACCACCATCCCTAAAGACCTCTGAAGCCGATCCATTTGGACCAGCTGCCCTTCCTCGTTTCGGATTAACTATAGCCTTTTGAACTTCTGATAGAGTTGGGGGACCTAGCATGCATTAATTGGCTAAAAACTACGTGAACCTGTTAAGAAATCGATCATCAGTTAAACTAGAGAGGATACTGGACAGAAGTCCAAGGTCAGTTTGTTAATGTGACATTCAATAGATTTTAGAAAGGTATTTGATAAGATGTCTCACTTAGGGTTTATACAGAAGCTCTCCATCTTTGCAATAACAGGTTTCATACAAGAGTGGATAAGGAACTTTTCTTCACCACGTCAACGAATTACTAAGACTGCTTAAGTTGCAGACACGGTTGTCTGCAGATAATATAAAAATCTGGAGAATAAATAATCTTGGTCTCCAAGATGAACCAAAAGAATTGCCGAGATGGTTCTAAAGTTAGGGTTTGGAGTTTAATTTTAGAAAGTGTGTTCGTGTACACTGGAAAGCCATAGGTACCAGCGTACCGTCAACAGCACATAGCTTTCATGAGTGCAGAAACAAAAAGACTCGGGAGCAACAACAAATCAGGACTTGAAAGCAACCTTGTATTGCTATGCAGCAGTTGCCAAAGGTTTTCGAATGTTATGATCACTTCACCGAGGGTTAAAATGCTTTGGAGATGTTTCGGGTTTAATAACCCACTTGAGACCTTAATTAGAGGATTGCACATAAACAGCTAGTCCATGTTTTATTAAGGATGCTATCACACGAGTGTATTCAACATGAGGGAACCAAGTGATGAATATTTTCAAACTCTCCTACGATGAGCGCTTAAAAAACACTTAGGCCTTTTACCTAGTCGAGAAGCGCCAGGTGACACTAAATTGGTATTCTGCATCTTAAATAATGATTAGGGCGTTACTTTATTTTATTTTTCTCCCTCTAGAAATGATCATCTTCGAGGCCACACGAAGGTACAAAAGCCGCGACTAAATAGAATCCTGTCTCTTTTATCGAGTGATCAATGGTCGGGAACACCCTATCCGAACAAGTGGTATCAGCTCTACCAGAGAACACTTAGGATGTTGGACTTTCACTAGTAAAAAACCTGCAAGGACTAACACACATCAAGGTACAGATACATACACGATGAATAACACTGAGCTACCTGTTGTCCAGACACACAATGACTTGGGAGTCATCGTTAGCCAAGACTTAAAGACTATTGCACACTGCCGTGCAATAGCCGCCAAAGGTTTTCGAACTATATGGTCAATACGTAGGGCTTTTAGTCATGTCGACGCTGAAACGTTTTTGACTTTGTGGTGGTATTGAGTGCTGTTAGAGGTATGAGGGCGGTTATCACTTCACGGTCGCCCACACCGTGGAAGGGTTGTTCTAGAGGTACCTGAAAAGGAAATTGGATTAGAGGTGGTCTTAGTGACCTGAGAGCGTGACCGCAGTGCCCAAGGGACAACTGCTTGAGGTCGGTCACACACGACCTTTTTGTAGGGAATTTTCGTGTTAGCTTCGTACTTGTTGAGACCTTACCTCCGGAGACGGATATCCGTGGGATAAGGTGAGGTGTGCACTTTCAGGGTTGACCTTTTCTAACTTCATCCCTCCTTATGGGAAGACATCGGTTATGCTGGTTGTCTGAAGGTAACACCTTACTGCTGTCAAACCTCTGTACAGTCATCAATACGACTTTGCCTTCGGACATTGGGTTTGTTGCTTTTATTCTTACTGCTCTTCAACCGACCTGTCTGACATGGTAGGACCTTGAGGAAAGGTTGTTCCAACCAGTATAGCTGGTCCACTGATCCACTATGATCATTATTGAAGACTGAAGTTACCCTCTAATTAATATCAGGACAATCAGGTGGAATTAGTAGACCAAATGCGTTTGAATACATAAACTGATTAGTGTGTATTAGTTGACTAAGTTTCGTTAACAAAGGCGCTATGTATCTTAACTTTAACAGTTTTGATCTCTGGGAATCATTACATCCTTGTAAATATTCTAGGAACTAGATAACGATCTCCAGTGAAAATATGCAAAAATAAAGTAGTACATTCTACACTTCCCATCCTCAATCACTTCATACGTTATAACGCATGAATTAGAAACTGTAAATTCGGCAAGACTATAACTCTCATCTACTTGTAATTTTCCTATTTATTTATAAATACAGGCAAGAAAGGTAATAAGTATGGAAGTGGCTTGAGTAGCGCACTTTGAGAATCATATTTGTGAAGCAGCTGATATACCTTAAGTCACATGGCCTTGTGATTCTGGCACTTTCGTAATTGAAGCGAATTAATTCCAGTGTCAAAGTCGAGTCACTAAAACGATAAGTTCAATAAACAGTTTTTTATAAGGAGCGAATAACTTCAAATGACCTTCGTTTATTTGGCACCCCTCTGCATGTTCAAATACAAATTATTCATACTGTATGTTCTGGCAGATAATTTCATTAGTTCATTAGTTTACTTATGGGATCCAGACCGCGATTTTAGACATTTACTTAAATAAAAAAAAGAAATGTTGAGTCATCTCTATCAGCCTCGACACTGCAAGAACGATGTGATGCCAAGTGCCAGTAACAAATAAATTTATAAATAAAATTCAAGAACTTCAGAGTAAACGGGAAATGCCCAATCTGTATTCAACCAGCTTCAAAAAATTTTCTCGCATATAAATTACAGAACAAGGACGCACTATTGGATTCCAAACCTAATTTCAAAAGAGGGTGGATCTGAATTAATAGATGAAAATCGGGAAAATTAGAGGCCATGGCAAATTATTTAGGAAGAGTTTTCAGCTAGGAGCCTCTTTTAGACGAAGTACTAGACCCAAATACAAAATCAACAAACCGCCTGCTATTCATGAACTATGATCGAGACAATCTGCTTAAGGCCCTTAACACTTTAGACAGGGGAAAGTCAACAGGACCGGATGAACAACGCCATAAACTCTTGAGACTAATTACATAACATATTGCAGTCCACTGATTGTGGTATTCAATATGTCACTTCACCAAGGTGTGTTACCTACGGACTAGAAGGATGCAATCGCTACTCTCATACGTAAAACAGGATCAAAACAACTTTCACTAGATTACAAAACTGTCAGCCTCACCAGTGTAGTAGTTGAAATACTGGAAAGAATGGTCAAAAAGACCACAATGACATTTGTGGGAATCAACATCTTGTTAAACAACGAACAACATGATATCAGAAAAGGCTTAGCCTGCACAACAAATCTTGTAACAAAGGAGTAATGCACAGAGGTTCTAGACAATAGGGAATCAGTGAATGTTGTCTACATAGACATAGAAAGTAGGAGTAAATCGCATGTGTTCTGTAGTGGCATCTGACAATAACAACACAATCCTCAAAGCTGAACACAAGACTACTCGGGAAAAAGATATTCAGTATTTAACGCGGAGAAATACCTAACGATGGAGAAGGCGCGAACAAGGAATTGAATTAATTAGAGTTTATAGAATGACATGGCTCGGCCATTCAGGCGTGGTCCCTGCGGAATGTTACCTCATATCTTTTATCCATATTAAATATATAGTTCTTTCTCTAGCCTAAGCTTGTTCTTCATCATGTATTGGTAATTGCAACGATGCAATGTGTTGGTGTAGATGATTATCTACATTCCACGTAAGATCTTGTAGATTGGGTAGTTATATCACGACAAGCCTACAATTTTCGTATTAGGTCTATTATTAGAGCAGTACTAATATCATAGTAGACCACAATTCTACAGTTCCACCTGGAGACCAGTACTTAGTGAAGTATTACAAGGTTCTGTCCCAGGTTCTTAACGTTTTATGCTGTGTGGAAAATCACCTCACAAGTATAGTAGAGTTGTTGAATTATGGTCTACTATGATATTAGTACTGCTCTAATAATAGACCTAATACGAAAATTGTAGGCTTGTCGTGATATAACTACCCAATCTATAAGATCTTACGTGGAATGTAGATAATCATCTACACCAACACATTGCATCGTTGCAATTACCAATACATGATGAAGAACAAGCTTAGGCTAGAGAAAGAACTATATATTTAATATGGATAAAAGATATGAGGTAACATTCCGCAGGGACCACGCCTGAATGGCCGAGCCATGCCATTCGATCAACTCCAATTAATTTAATTCCTGTTTCCACCTTCTCCATCGTTGCGTTTTTCTACACGTTAAATGCTGAACATCTACTTGCTCAATTGTCTCGTTTTCAGCATTGATGAATGGGTGGTCAGGGCCCACTGACACTACAGTGTCCCCAATGTTGTCACACGCTGATGATATAAAAAAACTGGCAAGGAATAACAAGAGAAACAGATGGATATTCGCTTCAGACAAACTTTAATATTGTGGTTAGCCGGTCTAAAGAGTCGCTGGTGCCCATCAACTTGACTAAGTGTGTCTATATGCACACCAGGAATACTGAGGTAAATAAGTACAATATACGAGAAGAGCCTGCATTCGTACTCCGGTCCCACAAGGATCATAGGGTGACAGTGAGACATGATCTTAAAACCGCAGCCCACTTCCACGATGTTGCAGCTTAGGGGTTTAGAACTATATGGGCCTTAAGATGGATATTCACCAGCCTAGATGCCACCACGTTCACCACAGAATACACAACCTTAGTGAGCACTAAACTTGAAAACCGTGTTTAGCCCTCCAAGCCTCTGTTTAAAAAATGACTCAGACATCCTGGAAAACGTACAGAGGGAAGCTATCAGTGCAATTCCAGATCTCCGGATTTACCACACAAAGAGCGGCTTGAAAAGCTAAACCCCTTAACTCTACCCTACCCCAAATTAAGGTGTGATCTGATTTTGATGTTGTGGAATATTAAGAAATGATTTTGGATTTAGTGTATCTTCCATTCCCCCCCCCGCTAGTTCGGAATATCTCAGAGGACAAAGCAGACGAGTAGAAAAGCCACGAACGAACAAAATGCCTGTGGCATACGGGTTTCCATACCGAATCCTCGATCCTTGGAACCTGTTACGTGAATCAGTGTTGTCCGTACCTTCAATGGACTCATTTAAGGGAAGAATGAATACTCAGAGAAGCAAATTAGAAAGAGGAATAACATAAGGCTCAGGTGTTTTGTCCTTACTACACAAATCTGAATCCCAAAACTGCATTTCGATCAGTATCCAATATTTTTATCACAATCGATTTTCTTGCGCTCGCTTCTTGTCGATCGGGTACAGTTCCAGATACTTGCAAATGTCCGATGTGTGGTGTTCTAGACACTCGACTACATCAAGTCAAATCAGTTTGGTAATTATTTTTGATTTATGTCTTAAAGTTTGAGCTAATGCGTTTATCTCAGTGAAGAAGGGATTCTGGATACCACCAGCCATTACACTGCCAGGGAGTAGTTTGATTCTTTGGAATATGGAAATAAAAATGTGTTAATTCGAGTGCCGAAAGAAGGCGACTATTTCAAGAATGATAAACGGTTCACTTAACTGGTAGTGTTTAAGAAGACGGAATTCAATGAGTAAGAGGGGAAACGGAGATGAAAATAAGAAAGATAGGAAGTAGATACTGATATACAGCAGTGATAACTCTGATAAATAATTAAACATGCGTCAGACACAGCTATTCTAAGAGGGAGATAGTAACCCGTGGGCGAGTACGTGTTTGTCAAGTCTTCTTTTAAAGCTATCCATTGAGAGGGCTTTAGCCACTTCAGCTGGATTTTGTCTAAGGTATTCGTCCGTCAATTTTAGCGTTCCATTAGATATGCTTTTGCCAACTTCTTTCACAACGTTCACCCACTGCTCCATACTTCTTAGTCAATACCGGGATATTAGCAACGGTCGATAAATTCACTAGTGTGTGGGCCCGCTCCATGCTCCTTATGGTCCCTTGCGTGAATGAGCCTATGTTGGACGAACTCGGTATACTGGTGGGGATCTCGACGGTTATTTTCAATGGAGACTGGTGCTTTTGTGCGTTCGTTCCGTCGGTGTATGTTCTTTGTACTTTGGGCAAATATACCACAACCGAGGATAAGGGTAACTCAACATAAGCCCGTAGTACAGCCAAGGTACTGTAATATCACTACATCAATGAACCTAACCACTACAGAAATAACATTCAAATGCTTTGTCAATGGTTTGAGCAAGTAAGATGCACGCGATACAACTATCGTTTCTGTGCCGTTTCACCCTCGTGGTGGTTGACAACATGGTGGGTGAAGCAACTAGGAAGAGAGCAGTGGATCAGCACAGCTAGACCTGTCTCACGAAGGTTCAATCCTGGTACGGTTATGGGTTACAGATTTATTGTCATGTTGTCCGCCAGCGTTATGCCGAAATGCAAGATCTTATCAGTAAATGCATATGGATGAGTACAACAGTGCATTAAAGCGGACAGAATAAATACTTTCAAAAAAAGTATAAGGTGAAATGGATAAAAATACGTAAACAATAATTCCACTAACAGTCGAGATCAATAATTAGCACAATTACCTTGCATAATCCAGCTCTGCGACACCAGATAACTAAATTGCTAATAATATGGACTTATTACTAGTCAAACTGAAAAAGTATCCTTCTCAAGTAAAGAAAAATATTTTACTCAAAGATAGCTCAATTCAGTTTTTTAGGAAAGCGACCACTCAAGCGATAAGTGTTGTATAGGAAGTGCAAGAGTCACACAAACATTTACTGATCGATAACTGTAACCGCTCCTAATAAAGAGCATACCCATTTCAGTTTGATTGTGGTAGAACAAATTCAACCGATTCACACAGGAGCAGTCAGAGACATGTAGTTCAACATGGTACCCGCCGAAAAGTGAAATTACCTATAAGAAATCGAACTAATTATTAGGAACCCTACTAGCTAATCGTCAGATTTCAGGAGCTTTTAGAAATATGGAACATTATAACTTCAAGAGAACCTAAAATGTTGAACATAATATACGTCATTACAGAGAGTGATAGAAATAGTTTTACCTGTACAGGGAAACAATCAAATACTGATGTATGCAATGCGTATATAGGGGTATATTTACTCTCATGCACCCACACGCATCCAAAGATTGTTATGCATGGACCATAGAGCGTGCAAATTCATCACAGAAACTCTCTATTCTTCAGCTTTCATTGGGCTCTTTGATGAGCCTTCATGATCGGATCTTTATAAGCTAATTATTTTCAAACCTGTTTCTGCCTAGCTCATTTCTCTCATCTGCATTTCCTGAAATTTCAATCATAAACACATGTTTCAACTGTATCATAAAACTTCACATGCCCATGAACCTTGGCCTATCACTTCAGTCTAAATTACTACATGAAATTTTCTACGTGCCTACTGAGGTCACAAGAACTATCAAGTCGTGGTTCAGGAAGTCACACTCTCCAGAAGAACT